GCCCACAACTCAGCATTCTTGTGCGAATATGAACATTTTTCTGCGGAACCCCAAACTTTCGGCGAGTGCCCCGCCCACTGTGGGCGGGGCTTGCCATAGGTCAAGTGTGCTTTTTATTTCTTGTCCCATGCCCTACCTATCCCCACCTGGACCTCTCCAAGTCGTTCTTCAGGTCGAACCGAATTTCCGGACAGACAAACTTACAAACAAACAAACAAACAGACAAGCGAATTTATATATATATATATATATATATATATATATATATATATATATATATATATATATATATATATATATATATATATATATATATATATATATATATATATATATATATATATATATATATATATATATATATATTATATATATATGGTGATGATCCACTTTTCATCACAGGTGACAATTCGGTCCAAAAACGGGTCGTTTCTGTTGCGCAAAAGCAGTGAAGAAGAAACCTCGAGACGTGCCAATTTCTGCCGGTCACTCAAATTGTGGGGCACCCACTTGTCGAGTTTTTTCACCTTCCCAATGCGTTTCAGACCATCCGCAACAGTGGATTTGCCAACGCCTAGCTTTTCTGCAATCTCTCGAACTGTTTGGGATGGGTCAGCCTCCACAAACGCCTTCAAATCCTCGTCAGGTATTGCTTTAGGTCGACCGCTACGAGGTTCATCTTCAAGGCTGAAATCTCCAGAACGAAATTTGTTGAGCCATTGCCGCACAGTGCTTTCTCTAGCACTATTGGGCCCCACACCTGGTTAATTTGTTGAGCTGTTTCGATTGCGGATTGCCCCAATTTATAGTCGAAGAAAAAAATCGTCCGAAGTGCTCTTTTCACATGCTTGAAAAAATCTTGAAAAAAGGGGGTTTATCAAGCAATGGTGAAACGGCAATTATACCATCAGATAGCGCAAGAAATTCTCTTCAGGATGTACTACTGAGAAGCAAGGGAGAATGAGTTTTTAATCAGCAATGAATGTACAAAAAATAGTAACACAAAACGCTGAGAACTTTCCGGACAACCTAATATCGATACTGATCAGGTGACCCGGCAGATTTGCGATTTGCACGATTTGCGCGCACACTGAGGCTGCGTTCAGACTTCGCAGTGGCGCGTCGCGCCAGTTGCAACAATGCTTCGATGCTATAGACGGGAACAAGTCGTAAACATCGGGGAATGCCGCTGGTACTTTGAGTGTTTTCGGAGAGTATAAGAGAACAGCGGAGTATCAGACTGGGTACGCTAGTGTTCTGGAGAATGTAGGAGAACGGAGTACCGTGTGCTACTTACATACTCTTCAGAACCCTAGAAACACTTTGGTACTCTCCTATTCTCCTTTGCTTCCCCAAAACTGGCGGTCAGCGCGGATCGATACCCGTTCATAGCATTGGAACGTTGTTGCAATGTAGCGCGAAGTGTTTCACCGCAAGTCTAAACGTTTGAAAAATGGCGCCATCACCTGTCTCACCCAAATTGATGAAATTTAATGGGGGATTATTTGACATCCTGATCACGAATATAACACTCACTCTCGTGCCAACGAAGGGCACTGCTGTCATCTGCAATGGCAGGGAATCATTCCTTCCGAGCTCAACTTTAGCAGAGCGCTAAATTGTCATCGTCATTTCCGTGATCAGGGTATCAATGAACTGTACATGAAAGTTTTCACCGATTTTGATGAGAAAGATCGTCAAATCGGCTACTTGACGCGAAATGGCGCCGATAACCAAAAACTCCGACCTTCCAGTCCTCCATGGATTTCTAAATTGGCGCCAAAGGATTGCATGGAAATCGGTTCAGCCAGGGCACGCCATCGCGTTGTGATCATTTTCCGCTCAATGCGAGCCCCTCTAAAAAGAGTCCCGATACGACCACCCCCCACCCCTGTCCGTCCGCTGCTAAACTGGTAGCAGCAGCGGACCTGATTAGCAGCAGACTAACAGGCACCGAAAAAATGGAAGATCTGTGAAAGAGGACGCGAAAACAGGGCACATTATTGGTTGGGGATTTTAGTCGAGTCTGTACGACCCCCCTTTTTTTGGGGTTGGTACGACCCCCCCTCCTCCGGCCCTCTGTTCCTCCTCATCGAATCGAGCCGTCGAGCGGGGGGGGGGGGTAGGTGGGGCATATAGTATGCATGAAAAAGGAAATTAGAAGCAAAGGAAAGGAAACATTGGGAAAGGAATACACTCCAGAGCACAGATGATCCGTTTCGCTCGGTATCGCAGACGAATCATCATTGTCTAGCCAACCCCCGAGCTCATCAGTGCGACAGGTTGACGACATGAGGACATGGACAACATAGGGGAAGGTGTTGAGAAATAGGATAAAACGAGAGAGAATGTAAAAGTAAAGGGGTATACATGCAAAGTTCATGCATATCAAGATGATGGCCAATTATACATAATAATGAAAGAGTGATATAACACGATATGAGTAGTAAATACGTGTAGGAGGAAGGAAAATTGGATTGATAATAGGTTAAACCTACTGAAAGATGTTGAGTATCAACCAATGTCCAAGCGGATTACAACAATCAAATCAATTAAAAGTGTAGCGGAAGGAGGAGAATTAGCGACGAGCACCGCTGCAAATGAGAATACCTGTTACTAGTCTATTTATCTTTCTATAGTTATTTGCGATTGAGAATTTGTAACTTATAAATTTATTTTTGTAAATACATTTCACAATGCTAGTAATAATAAAATCTTCTTCGTAGCCATTTTTCAAAAGAGTGTGACCATATCCGTTATTTTGCTACGAAAACGTTGAAGAACGAACAAGTGTTCGCTAACCTCAAAGTTTCCGTATATATAACAGAGGATTTGTTAATAAGGGAAATGTTTGTGTCACTATACGGAAATCTGATTACATTGAAGCTAAAATCATCCGTTTTATTATACAGCTTGGTACTAATTTTACCGTTAGTAATATTAAAATCTAAATAATTGCTAGAAACTTCACTATTATGAGTTTTTTTCAATTGAAGGGTATTTTGATAAACTTGAGAAAGTTGTTCATCCACCTCATCATCAGTTTGGTTATGCACCACAAGCAAATCACCAAAAGTCAACCACCACTCCTACAACGCCAAAACGTAAATACGACCCCCCTCCCAACAATGACCAAGTACGACCCCCCTCCCTTTACAACGTCCGAAGCGAGAAAAATCAACTATCAAAATAAATTTTTCTCAGCCCAATACGACCCCTCCCCTCCTGGCGACCAAATACGACCCCCCCCCCCTACTGGGGATTCTACAACAACGATGTGCCCTGCACGAAAAAGAAGGAAAAAACGAAAAAATCCATGTGCCAACACTTGAATATATTAATCGTTCGCGGCCATTCAAAGGTGCAATTAGGGCTAGAGCGCGCTTTGTGCCGGTATTGGAGCGAGCTATTTCAAGATCCGGAGCCATTTACATAGAAGCCAAACAGACGGGGAAGGTACCCTCAAAGTAAAGTACCACTCGAACACCCATGACTTCTTTGAGAGCGGAGCTTTCGGAAAGGGGAAAGCAGGACTGTGGAGCACTAGGTTGGCGCTTGCTACTTGCGTTCAAGCGCTTTCAAAAAAAAAAAACTCTTTCAAAAGGATCTCTCCGTTGTGATCCCGTTGTGATCATTGGGGGTCACTTACAAGTCCTTACGCTTTGAACTGCCATAACAATCTTCATGCAAGGCCATTTGTAAAACAAAAAGCAGTGACGGAATGCGAAGGTTTCTATTTTCCAGCAAGTCTTTCATTCTATCCCTAGGCCTGCTATTCCCATTGTAATCATTACGCAACCCCTTCCGAACAACAATAACCCCCCCCCCTTTCTCCTCCGACGCCATACCACTTCCAGTTCGTTCAGAGACTTTGGTATGCTTCTAAACATATGTTTTCGCCAAGGATATCAGGATATAGGTCATTGGGGCTCCAACTGGCATCACCTCTGTAATGCGCCATGCATAGAGCTTTCACGCAGAGGTGTTGGGAAGGTGCAACTTCTAGATAGGGCTTCCTCCGTGCAAGTAGATGTGCTCCTGCGATCAGAAAGGTCCGGAAGTGTATTTTCATCTGTTTATTAATTCATGACGTCGTTGTGGGCGGCCATCGTATTTCCTGTCATCGCCCGTTCCCCACTTCTGCGCTGGCAGGTTGCTTCTGTCTTGTGTGTGTCTCTTCAGGGGTTCTTTCGCGGATAAGTCTTTCATCATTGACGCTGAACGACATCTAAATATCACTGCTTTCTCCGTTTCAGAATGGGCCATGCGCTTACGACCCCCCCCCCTCCATCGCGGGCAAATACGACCCCCGTTGTGATGAGCACAAAGATGGCGTGCCCTGGGTTCAGCGCGCCCAAAAACGACTTCAGGTTGCACACGTCATGTTGAATTCACCAATTTTCGACATTTGCAAAGTAACGCGGCCACCAGCAAATTGCAGCGTTTAAATATATAGACTATGGATCTGCAGTATGAGATGTACAAATACAACAACACGAGCGGAGAAAACAAGAAAAAAAGGTTCAGAGGAGCTAACACACCGGAGCGGTTTTGTGCTTATGCGTTATTTACGGTAATCCAGTTTGGGACAAATAACTTTGAAGCTATGAAAAGTTCGTTCGAGGTTGTTTCTTCGACTTTTCAGCCTGCGAGGAATGAGGGAGTGAAGGTGCGAAGAAACGTGTGAGAACAAGTACAAAGACTTTGCATAGGTATTCCGGGACGACTCATTCTACACTTAAAATCTGTGTCAAACAGGTGTTGTTCACTTTCCAATCTTTAGAAACTTCCGCTTGCAGCGAAAATTAGGTCGGATTCAGAAAATTAATTTTGTAGAGTTAAAGGACGTAGTGCAGGTGACTAGGGAGCATGATTGCAACCAATAGGTCTGTAGCACTTTCAGAAACATTGGTTTTTTTGCACAATGTGGTAAAGATGCTATTTATTCCCGGTTCAGATGCTCAATCTTCATATTTCAGATCTCTTGAACCTTGAAGTTAATGTCAGTTATCAAGCAAGGGAATTGTAAACTGTCGTCATATACACCACTCGAAGGCTTGGTAAAAACCAAATGTCTCGGCTGCGGTAAACGTCGCATGTATTTCTGTTACGATTGCCGTATTCTTCTCCCTGGTGTATACTCCCCTCGCGTGAAGGTATGTCGAACAAACCTTTCGAACTGTTTCTTTCGTCGTTTTCATCTGATGACACATTTTCGAGTTTTTTTCTGCGCTAACGAAAGAATTTCATCATTCAAACTTAATCGTATCACAAATTGCATCATCTGCTCAACCTCATGATCATTTGTACTCCACTTCGCTGCGGATAAATGGGCGTGTCAGGCAGGGTGAGTGTGAACTGGTGCCAAACCCGTTCTCTGCCACTTCCTGAAGCGATTACGCGACAACAGTTAGTAGGAAACGAGTTATGCGAACGAGGTAAATGGTCTTGTTACTTGCTCGCTTCAACTGTTGGTGGACAACAAGTTTGGCGTCTCGCCAAACTCCTCCCGCCTGATACGCCCCTTCGTTCGCAGCGAACTAGACATTAGCTGCGTTTCGCTGACGCTTGACGATTTGCAGTTTGTAGAATATCTTTTCTGTGGCATCGTTCCAATATAAAAGCGCAGTCTAATACGTTATGGACATGTCACGACGCTGGGAAAGGAACTTCGGGGTGGACGAATCGTTTTTGGAAAGATGTAGGAACCCCTTCTCGCATAACGAAATCATTCAGCCCTTACGGAAGTACTCCTAGCCAAAAATCCTCATATTCCAGATCTCACTGTCGTGCAATATAGAACTGGGCGATTTTCTTGGGCTAAAGCCACGTCAGCTTTCATTTATGTTCAGGCGCCTTCTTCGGACATGGTAATATTCCCTGCAAGGATTGAGGATATACTGCTTTCGTGGCTCAAAACACATCAGGGAAGCGCTGCGCGCTCGTCACGGAACCATGCCCCGCCCACTGGCCACGGCGACGCCCAACTTTCATTGTTAACTGCCGATTGTGCTGTTGTTGCACTGCTAGCTTCCCCCATTTCAAATGATGAGAATTAGGAGACAAGGAGAAAAAGAGGCTGCACCAACAAGTGAGAACTCGTACCTCCACGGCCCTTTTCCACCTTATGCATGTACAAGCGTGGTTCCTCATGGGGTTCCATAAAAAGCAATTCATGTGGGTTTCATTGCTGTTCTGGCTTTTGTGCTATTTACCATCTTGTCGTTAGTATTTATTTGGGCTGCAGAAAATCACCATTTTTGAACACACGGCGCCTTTAAGCTGCGCAGTACGACTTCCCCATTGAAATATCAGAGACACATACAGTGTTCTGTCATTTTCTAACATTATACATTAAGAACGACGTATTGGGCTAAAGGCTTTTGATGATTTGCTGCCATTTCTGCTTCTAAAAAACTGGCCTCGAGATTTCGTCGCTGGAAACAGTACCTCACTGAATGTGCACTTTGTGTGATTACTAGATCATCTAATTATGCGCTATCTTGTTGCAGTTGCCGTGCGATGTGGATATAGTTAAGCATCCAATGGAAAAGAACAGCAAAAGTAGCGCTATTCATTGCAAGATTGTAGCCCCTGAGCAAACACGGGTGAGTTGTTGAGCGAGAATATTCCAGCAGTATTCCCTTAAGATGACTGTTTTTCTAGGTTTTCGATGTACCGGATGTCTACGACTATGGTGCTGAGGACACTTCAGATGATGCGGGTAGCAATGTAAGTGTGTTATCTACATATGTACTATAAGTGCAGTTATGACGGCAAAAACCGCTCTTCAGGTGCTGGTGTTTCCTTCTCCTTCTGCGGTCTCTATCGAGGAATTCGTTCGGAGGAATGGTCGAATAAAGCGATTTGTTGTTTTGGATTGCACATGGTTCCAGGTGAACATGATGCAGAAAATCCGTCAGATTCAAGGCCAGTACTGCGCTCAGAGTGAATTTATGTGGTTCTCGAAAGATAATCTTTTCAGATCTCCCTTGCGTCTCACTGACCAACTATAGCACTGCTTTTTGGAGACCCCAGCATAATGTCGATGACCATGGTTTGGCAACAATTGAGGCTATTTATTACGCTCAACGAGAGTATCAAGAGCAAGTTACTAAGCAGCCGTACGGAGGTGAGACCGCTGTTGCACCCTTTATTAGTTGATCAATGCAGGTTGAATCTGAAGTCTTGTTCATGGCTCTACTTACTTTGTCCAAAACATCATTCAGTAGTTGAGACTTGCTGTTGACTGTTAGAAGAGCTTATTACTATATCTCCTGTCTCTTTAACAGGAGAATTCGATGATTTGCTGTACTGGTTCTTCCATACTCGGCAATATGTCAACAAACGGCAGGAGGAATATCGCAAGCGAAAGCTCGAAGAAACTAAGACACTAGAAGAACCGGTCAAGCTGGCAACTACTTAATCTCCTATGAACCACGAATATTCACCGGTGTAGGTGTTGAACGCTGTAAATACCAGATAGGCTCAAAATATATATTGCACAGGAACCCAGAAGCCCTTGGTATCTTTTTAAAATTTCGGTTCTAAGCACCTTCTTCAGTGCCTGGGTCTGTCTGTTATTACGGTGTGGCTGCCGTCCTAGGTTCCTCACCTTGTACCTTCCTTCCTGACCTTGTCCAACGGAAGAACAGTTCTGCCAAGCTATCAACGCAATAAGCATTTCGTTGTCCTATTTGTGTTATTTATGATATACAGGCTTACGCGGCTCAGGGCACGGCCATATTGAAGTCTAGATGCTATTTTATTTGTTCCAAATGTTGTGCAAATCATTCTGCATGCTATTGGATAGCTGTTGGTGACATGTGTTACTTTTCTCAGAATTACTTTTTCTCAGAATTACTGAACGTCAACAAAGGGTTCCATAGGTTTGCCTTCTAATCTACTCATGCTAGTCATTATCATATTTGACCCGAATGGGATCCTGGAGAAGTCGTCCAGCAGCTGCCGGGAAGTAGCTTTGGAAGCGCGAATGCATGGCACGTGCTGTCATTGGAGAAAATTTCTGCAAAATATGCCGCTGCACAAAATTTCCTCCTAAGCAGTTTTCTTAGAGGATACGACTATCCCCCTGTGCACCGTGAATCTCCAACGTACCCTGAATACATAGCACGTTTCAGAACGTGTTTGAGGGACCACTTAGCCGTGCTACTATGTCTTTTCCTTTCGCCAAGGCTTAGGTATAGACCGTAGACAGCAGTCGTCGAGACTTAGTCACACAGAATATATAGTCTCCAAACAGTCTCGCAGAGACTACATAGTCTCCATTAAGCCTAATTGAGCCCTCGCTAGGAGAAGGGATACAGCGGCGCGGACAAGTGGTCCCACCACATGTACGTTGACCGACCATCCGCTTTCAATCTCACACAATTCCATTCTCATACTTCTTTGCTGTTATTGATTACATTCGTTCACTGTTCTGTTACATTTGAAGTATTTCGTTACTGACATGCCATTAGGTTTTCTCGGAATCTTTCCTGATGTGAAAACATTTTAGTAATCAGACCGCTATCAGCTTCGTTTACATGTCAGAGATAAATTATTTGATGTGCTTTACATAACTTCTCAACATTTACAGGTTCAATGCGACTGTGCAGCATCTGAGTCTTGTCAAGAAAGCAGTGCCTGGTCGAATGAAGCTAGGGAACGAGTAGAAGACGGGTCATGAATCCTGTTTAGGCTCGCTTACGTTCAAACATATATATCCCGAAGATGGGGAGGGCATGGTTGCGTGCTTCATCGAAAACGTGGCTTTAGCTGCATCTTTGGTGGGATGCGGTTACGGAATTGTCAACCAGACGTGCTCTCGCTGCGAGGGTCCAATGGTATTTTCTCGAGGCATTTACCAGTCCAGTAGTTGAAGGGAGAAGGTAAAGGAGGAGGGATCAGAGAAGGAGGAAGGAAAGAAGGAAGGAGGAAGAAAAAAGGAAGGAGAAGAGAGGCTTCCCGGTTGACATGTGCCCTGAGACGGTGGGATGCATTCGGTCTAGGACCAGCGGATTCATGCAACTGACCAGCACAAGCCACAGTTGTCTCAAATGAAAATATCCTACGGATAACTCATCTTACGCAAGGATAGACAAAGTACGCAGCCACGCCTTCCCCATGTCTGGGATACGGAGTGTACCATTTCTCGTGAGCGACTAAGATAAGTTCAGATTAAACGAAAACACAGTCCAACACGGAATGGTAGTCGTGGTTTGTGACTTCGCCCATTCTGACCCTTCACAGAACACCGCTTCGTGGAATTAAATTTTCCACATAACAGCGCTTCGTGGAATTAAATTATCAGAAATATAAATCTGGTTCACACTAAATAAGATGATGAACTGAACTACGCTTAAATAGAATGCCATTAGTATTACATATTTATCTCGGAGATCATCCTCAAAATATACAATTCGTACCATGACCTTCTGAAGAGGAGCCAATATGGCGTTAAAGAGTGAAGGCACAGTGACAGCAAATCATGTGATTATATTAATACAACGTAAACAAAACAAATGACGCTCGAAAACATCTCAACTAGAACATTACGAAATGAGTACTGATCAGAAGTCCGCGTGCACATTCATTCTCCCAGAGTCGAATATCGCTTCTATTTGCGCCTCAAATTAACAACTACAGAAAAATAATTTCAGCCCACATGGGTCGCATCCACACTTAATAAACGAAAAGAACGCGCAGTTCTGGAGGATTGGCTACAACGGATTAGATGAAAATCGACTGACTCGACAAAATCGCCCACTGTCTCCAAACGTTAACACGTTGACGACAACGCGGGTTTTTACTTTTCGGCCTCGTGGGACACGCGCGCTTTCTTGAACGCCACAAGCGCGGTACGCATACAATTCAAGCCGTCCCACGAAGCGCTTTTTTGGAGATTGGATCGAAAAACCTGGTTTAGAGAGCAATTGTGAAGTAAGTCAATTATTTACTATGGAAAAATCTGGGCTGGCCAACTCTCTTTGCACCAGGGCCAGGAATTTGTCTGTAACCAATTTTTTCATAAAAAACGCAAATCGTGGTATTCAGAATCCTTCACCTTATATTTTTTCATCATTATCAATGTTGTAATTGTCTGTATTTGTTGGCAAAGAGTTAAACAGCAAACCAATCCAAAGTTGAGGAGCAAACCAATTCAAGCTTATAGTGCTCTTTCCACAGGAAATCTTTGCTAACTAGTGTGTACTAAATTATTCCATGGACCACGTGTTGTACGAGTATACTAAGGACTGGCCTATAGAATGAATAGGAGAAACTAAACAAAAAATCATGCACTAGGGAAAGATATGGATTTGTTGATCGTGATTCGTATACAATTCGCGCGGTCCCACGTGGCCCACAAAGCGCGCATTAAATGCGTATCACGCTGTCGTCAATGTGTTAATGAATGGAGTCAATGGACTTGCACATAATCCCTTGCCGCCGATTCTCCGAAGTCATGCACTCCTACGAATCGCATGTTCTCCACAAAAACAAAATAAGAATGCGTCAGTATCAATGTAAATTTTACCTTTGCTAGCGCTCGTGCATGTTCCGGTAGAGTACGTAAATCCGAGACCGCTGAAGCAGCAAAAGCACTGTCACCATCCAAAAGTACATCAGCGCCACCTAAATCGCTGTTTGCTTTCAAGACACATGGCCATCGTGCATAAACAGTAGTATGCTATTAAATCCTAGGCAGCGTTCAGACTTAGCGTACAATTGCAGCAGCGGTCTATAATTATAAATGCAAAGAGAGCCACACACGAAAATCGATCGGCGTCGGCCGACTGCTTTCAGAGAGTATGGGGCGAATAGGAGGGTACGGGTTGTCAACCACGCGGTGTGGTACCGATCGGGTCAGGCCGCTAGTGCTCTGAGAGAGTATAGTAGAATAGGAGAGCATAGTTTGTGTGAGGGCTGCGCCTACCCTCTCGTTCTCTTATATTCTTTTAAAACACAAGCGGCCCAATATAGAGCGGTGTTGTAATCGTAGCGCGTCGACATGCTTTACAGCGTTAGGCGCGCATCGCGAAGTCTGAACGCTGCCTAGTGCGGGCTATGTGATACATACATTCTGATGCAGAATCACTAGAAAATTTTTATTCCTATCTGTGTCTCATAACGTTGCCTTGTCGACAAAATTTTGTACTCCCTATCAATTCTAGTCACTTTTGGTCCTGAGTCTTGCGCTTGAATGCATATTTCGCGACTACATAGAGAACCAAAGGACTAGGTAGGGAAAGAAAGTGTGGATAGCAACGAACAAACTAGTATACGCTTCTTGTCAGAAAGCTGTCAGTTAAGACGCTATGGCGCAAGGCGCTTTAGTGACTCTACCCCACACTTAGTGCCTGTCATTTCGCTCGTTTGTGTACTCTCTCGTTATTCAAGTCCAATTTCTCCCAATGTGCTTGCAATCCTCGCTTGAGATCAAATGCAACTAAGAGCGCCATATTCATAGCGTCTTTGACAGGTTCCTTGGCTTTTCTTCATTCATAAGGTATCTCCCACGTAATGTTCCACAGATGAGATTTCACCACAATTTTTCTTCCCTTACAGAGAAGCATTTCTCATGCACCCAGTTATTGATTTTGTACATCAAAGTAAGAAAAAGTGATGGTTCTAGCTCCGGTATAGTTCCTGTAGGCTAGAAGGGTCACCCGCTGATGAAACTTCAAAAGACTGACAAAATGAAAAAAAATTCAAAGAACACCTTCATTTCTTCCTTTATCAGAGACCATATATCCCATACCAGACCTGAAAATGGCAACATTTAAACGTGATATAATACCTAAGATCGGATCGCTCGATCGGGTCCCGCGACCACGACTGAGGGCACTCCACCGCCAAACGGTGCATCACCACAACGGTACAATCCAACTGTGTGAACGTCCCAAGTTGAATTGTGCCGTTGCGGCGGTGGAGCGCTCCCAGTCGTGGTCACGCGATCTGATCGCGAAGTTTGAACGCGGTCTAATAGAGACATCGTGCACCAATGCAAAACACTGCAGGCAAGTGCTGTCTTGGCAATACCAAACATACCCCGACCTGACCATGTCATCCAATTCGCCATAATCTGATAGCTCATCATCATGCTTTCTTTTCACATGTCGTAACAACCTGAAATGAAAAGTTTACTGAAAGAAAAGATATCCAAGTAACCGCATTCGTTTACACCCACTGAGCCCTTTCATCCAGAAATGGGTCAATCCATGCCATAGCAGGGTATAGATCCCAGGTGCTGTCATCATGCACACCATTATCCCTTTGCATACGTAGCCTCCTCTTTTCTCGAACATATCGATCACGAATTTTCTTCCACTGCTTATAGATCGAATTCACATCACCTAAAAGTAATCTCTATAAAGCAAATAAAATAAATGCAATAAAATCGTCAAAAGAGTCAAAGAAACTCGTAAATATGTTACATACCGGGATAATTTAAGTGCGCTATAACGCTGTTCCAGGCTTGATTACGACATTCAGAATGTCTGTATTTTGGATCTCGTATATCGAAAAGACAAGGATGAGCACGTACTTCTTCTATCAAATTCGTGCCGAAAGATGGGTCCGTAACGGTCACCTGCTGAAACGGGGGAAAACTCTCATGAAAAAAACAACTTTAGTGCTGTACATGTCCGGCGGAATGTCACACTAACCACATCAGGATGCTCCTTTCTTGCTGGCGATTCGATTGCTGTGCGATCAATCATGTGGGGATCAAGAAATGATAGATGCTTGTAGTACTGCCAGGTTGACTGATCTCCTTGATATTTCACTTTCCTTTTCTCTTTCCCATATCTAGAGTCAGAAGTTGATTAAAAGTGAATGAACGGTAACGAAGAGGATCTGAGCAAAAGTCACTTGTCTCGCAGTTGCTTCCATCTTGCGTATAATGTCCGTGAGTCTCCATCAAACTGAAGAACTTGCACCAGGCGATTCCACACCTTCAATGATGAAAAAAGGATATGAAAGGTCTGAAGAGAGAAACAGTCCGTCACGAGATCAGTGGCTACCTTTATCTTGTACTCGGTGCTCCTGTATTGCCGATCCGTTGAGTCATATAGACAACGACTATGTTTGACTGCTTCGATGAGACGCATGTTAAAGCTCGGTTCAGCGATGTCGTCGGTCAGTCGGTAAGCTGCCGAACCTCTGCGAATAATTCAGAAAAACTCTGGCACATTTCCTCTATGGTTCATCATATTTGATGAGAAAAAAAAACAGTATTCAAATCAGTGGATAGCACTAAATACAAGGAATACACTTGACTTATGAAATAAAAAATAACATAGACCGCGTTCAAACTTCGCGGACGCATCGCTCGAGCGATTGGATCGCGAGGCTCTAAATGCTAGTTGGCGCTCTAAACGATGGATGCCACACGGAATGCTAAAAAAGGCTCAAAACGCTCCCGCAAGATATGAACGCACTCGTAACATGTATCCTGTTGTACTCAAAAGTTTAGCGCCGGATACGAGCAAAATATAAATGATGTTTATAAATGAAAAGGTATTAAGCGTGAAAACTCACAACATCGTTGAAGAGCTTCTTATTCTTCAGCCAACTGAAACATATAAAAAGATAAACCATTGAAAACACATAAACTGTAATAGTGCAATCGAATGACGTAAAAAAATTCGGGTAACGTTAGAGTAACGATAAGATCCAACAAGCTATGGAATACTGGATCACAAGAAAATGCTCTTCAAGTTTTGTAACCGATCTATGAGACTAGAAGCGAATTGATCACAATATAAAGGACTTTCGGCAATAAGTCAACAGATAAGAAGCTTCCACATTGAAGAGTCTTGATCGTAAGCTAAAAAGCAACTGACGAGAAGACTAAACATTTTATGAGACCTGAAGCCACACGATTATCGAACAGCTGCAGTTCAAATAACGAACCCGTCAAATCCGTAATATTGCGCGAACTGCCAAGAAATGACGAGAAAATGCACAAAAATTGATATTTTGTGCCGTGAGGCGCGCAGGGCACATAACTAGGTTGGTTGGGGAAGAACTTATTGTCAAACGTAATGTCACGCCAGCGAAGGTCATCGTCTCGCGTAGCGGTCATCGCGCGGCGTGCGCGTTGATCGATTGAATGTGGATTCCTGTCAGATGATATTGACAATTAAGTTCTTCTGTAATAGAAGAACTTAATTGTCAATATCATCTGACAAGGAATCCACATTCAATCGCGCGCAATGACCGCGACGCGAGACGACTGACTTCGCTGGCGTGAAATGTACGTTTGACAATTTAAGAGTCTTGTATAACTAGTTGGTTGGCGGAGTCCAACAGATGAGGGCGTCGTATTTGGCGCAGCCGCAGGAGAGAAGGGGGTGTCGATAATGAAGTGCGTAGCCAGTAATCGAGCGGTCGTCTTGCTGATTTAACTGCACAGCGAAGCTTGCTTTGTAGAGAACTCGGGTATGTGAAAAAAAAATAGTACAAAACTTTCATTCATCAAACTAATCTGAAATAACTGGAAATATAAAAGTCGACATCATCTCGTAAGTGACTAAACAGTACAACTCATACTCTGGTTCGCTGCGGATGATGGGGCGTGTCCGCGATCGCGCTTGGTGCTGAGCCAAACCATGTTTTCGGAAAACCAACAGGACTACCATAAATTCCGTTTCGATATCAGCACGTTTTCCAGCAGCTTGGTTCCTTCATCGGAATTCAGCAATTTGGCGGAGCCGAATCTGTCGGAAGACAGGGGACACGCTCCACATACAAACGGAAAACACTGTAAAACAAGTGCACAGATTCGCCCCATGACTCCTGAATCAATATAGTCACAATTTGCTCGTGTGGACAGACATTACGCTCAAACATATCATCATCCCATCACCTCTGCACGGACCTCAATGCGCGGCGCATCCAAACTTAGCATGATTGGCGCTAAACAAACCAAATCACTGCTCTGCCTCACCACGAGAAATAACGTTCTACATGTATTTCAGGCTATTCGAACACGCTCGCTTGAAACCGTACACAGAAAACGGACTTTCAAACAGTTCGGAGTGTTCCCCAACTAATCCCCAACGCAAATTATATCATGAATCTCGGAGACTTCAGAAATAGTTTCAGTAGTTTTTGGAAAGAGAAAATCTTCGCAAGTTCGGCTACTGAGGTTTCAGATTCCCATACTATTGCGAGCTCAAAAGAAATATCTCGGTTCAAACCTGTAAAACTCGCGCTGCAAACTATCCAAAAAATGAACTCCCTAAATACTCCCCAACGCAAATTTCTACATGAAGTCGGCGATCTTTATATACATATTAGTATGTTTTGGAAAGATAAAATCTTTCTCCATACCACTGCGTTCTTCTTTTTCCCAAAGGTCCGCTATCATGGTCCTTTAAAGACACCTCCACTTTCCTGAAAATCCGCGCTCCAATCAAACCACCTGCAACACCTTGCGGCTGGAGGTCCTGCCCAGAATCCCTTCCCCCGGTACCTCGGCCTTTAATCAGCTGATTGCGGCTGGTTTGCTCTCGTTCGTATTTACGTTTCGTGTTCATCTTCTTCTCGGTTTATTCGAATATCGAATATGTATCTCCTTCTCGGTTTACTCGAATATCGAATATTTATCTTCTTCTAGTTTACTCGAATACGCGTCAGAGCGCGCCCAAGCAATTTTGCTTGGACCGCTCAGAGTGCTTTTAGGAGAAGTTGGCTTAATTTCCTGTGAAAAAGCAACATCATCAGGACAAAATGAGCAAAAAAAGCGAGGAGGGGCCTCGTTCGGATATGTTCACTTTTCTATTTTCGCGCTTAATTACTTATACATAAACTTTATGAAGTTTCTTTCTCCTCGGGGGGGGGGGGAAGAAACTTCATAAGTTCAGGTATAGGGGGGGTCGTACCGAACCCCCAAAAAGGCGGGTGCGCACAGGCTTTTACCAAAATCCCCAACAAGTTACGATGCCTGACTGCGCGTCTTGCCGCACTGGCAAAAATGCCCGGAAAATACGAGCTTCTCCCCATATTGTCTTCCGCTACGAGCCCTCCCCTTCCCCATCCTACCTACAATCTCGCCAACTTTCCTTTTTTCACCGGAATCTACCCAAAAAGGGGAACAGGGCCCGTGAACCAGTGAAAAGCAACTATAATAAAAACTCTCGGACCGGCTGCCATCCCCTCTCCCTTTAGCGACGAAATACTACCGCTTCCACTGAAGTGATAGTAGCGTAGGGACGTACCCTGGCGGTAACACATCGCTGGTTTTTGTTGGTCACTTGATCACATTGAGCGGAAGAAAGCACGGTCGAAGTGCTTGGATTAGTCGTTATTCAAGCTACAATTAATGATTACTACGGTGTGGATGCAAATCAAATCCCAATTTTCCCCACTCTCACAGATGTTCTCAATAGAGGATCAGCGCGGTCGAGTTAATCTAGATGAACTTGGAATCTCGGTTCACTTCTGTGCTCTCGCATCGACAAACGCAAGAATCCGAATGCTACCCACATGTCGCTTTTGTAGGTTATTTATAACAATCGCTGCACTGCGGAACATGAAAAGCCTTGGAAAAGTATCATTAAAGTATGAATGCAAATTAGTAGCTTTTCAGTGAAGGCTTTTCAATCGGTTCTTGGCTGATCACTGAGGTTGGTGTGTCGCCTAAACGTACACTCGGAAAAAATACCAGACGAGTTTTACGAGCGCAAGTCGTCCACTTCGTTGTGGGACCACGTGTCCCTTCAACTTCATTTGAATTAGGATACTTCAATAAGAGCGGTTTTCCAAGGACTATCGCTTTCGTGCGTAAGCATAATTAATATTTTCGAGATCTGCTTCTGCTTTATCAGGAAACACATGAAACCTGAGGGTGCAACCGGAAACTTGAGCACGATTCAAACGGCATATCTTCTGTTTTTTTAGTTATACATCCGTGGGTGCCACATTTTAGCGTTTATGCAAAGAAGGACCAGGATGGGTGCTGGATGCAATTACACCGGGTGCCGCACCCTTCGCCTTACGCTATCTACGAACCTCACGCCTACTTTTGAAAATGACTGTCAGCGGAGGTTTCTTAGTGTGAACAGGCGCGCGCAGAAAGGACAAGGAAGACTCACGTTTTAGCATTTTTAGCAGGCAGCCATCACAGCAAATTCTTGCCAAATGGCCTTTCTCTGGTTGAACAACTTATCGCGCTACCTTCATTGATTCATACAGTATACGCCGACTCGCAATGAGCAGTCGCAGTATTACAGGCATCCTACGACTCGCGATAGCGGCACAGTGGCAGAACGTCTAGACCCAAAAATTGGATCTGCTCACACTCCAATAGGGACTCTCAGGTGCTGTTGACGAGATTGATTATGTCCAGCCAGGTTTTTCCGGGTGTAGGTTTAGACGACAGTCTGAGGCATGGAGTCTGGCAAGTCAAATAGATGTTGTTTCTTCATGTTCTTTCGATCGCAACACGGATCTGCTGCACAGACTCTTTGGTGCAATTTTTCTTTTGTTGTAGATTTCGGCCGTTTATTGATTGTTCTGATCACACATTATTGAACTGTTTTTGCTTAAGCACTTTCAACACAGGCTTGGCACTTTTCACAGAAAATTTCCCCTAATTACCGTAATTTGCCCGAAGCATGATAACTGCATCTTATGTCCAGTATGTCTATAGTGGTTGCCAATTTAGTTGCGGTCATGTTCGATTACGCCCGCTGGGGGGTGCTGGTGGCCGCCTATACATAGGGGGGGGCAGGGCAAAAAACAAGGTCACTTTTACTTCATTGGAACTTTCGAAAGCCGCTATAACTTAACACGTGTTATTAAATTCTAGATCGGACCTTCATTACCACCATCACTGCTCACCTGGTGCCTCCCGTTGATCATCGAGTTCCTCGAGCGGGCGCCAGTAACGTCTCCATTCGTCCCTGCAACGTGCAAGAGTTGCCCAATGAACTCTCTCAGCTCGAGGGACACGATGAACTTCATACCGTTCGTTCAGAGCTTTCACGAAGAAGTCTGACCATCGCATAGGCGGTCGTCCAGGCGTTCGCTTGACATCCCGTGGAATCCAGTCGGTGACTGCTCTGGTCCAGCGGTCGCGGCGTCTCTGATCTTCTATCGTTGG